TGGGTGTTTTTATGCGTTTTGCGCTGCAGTGGTGATGCAAGAAAAGAGAAGGATGTTTTCTTGCTTCCCATGTAGCAGATTACCCTATTAAAAGAACTCTGAAATTATTGTTACTTCAGTCATCGATTTTTGTAAAGTTAATGTTATATTTTTAGTGCTAACTGTTTTTAAAAAGATCCTTAAAAGATACCATGCACAGTACGCTTCTAAAAAATCGAATTTGTTCGTTTACCGCTTGCAGCTCATTCTGTGCATCAATGATTATATCCGTATCAAGAGATACCGATGAATCACTGAAATGGATCAAATTAGGCACACCCAAATAGAACATGGGAAACTGATGCTTTCCCCAAATTTGAGCCAGACATTTTGCAAGGCCAGTATTTCCCCGCGGATCGAATTTGCTCGATATATTGCCTGGAATAGTGGATAAATGAAGGTCAGGATTGTCAGCAGCAGGCTAATCATCAGGTGCAACCTTGTTTAAAATAACTGGAAAATAGTTATTTTGGTATGCCCTTCAGAAAAAAAAAGGATGTCAGGGCCGTTAATGCGTCGGCCATCAGGCATTACAGCGCCGGCCAAAGCAACTGAAAAAGCTGCCAAATGCATTTGATCAGTGATCAAAATAATGGCCAATTATGGGAATACAAGCGAAAATTATAAGATGCTTACCTGTATTTTTTCTCTCTACTGAGCAGCCGTTTTGTTTCTTTAAGTTCTTTGGCCAGATCATGAATTGTTTTGCGCAGACAAGTGATATGTGCCTGATTTTCGCGCCACCTAAAATTGATGCTTTCCAAATTTCGACCTGATTAGCTGTGTTTAGCTTAAATTAGCTAATGGTAATTCGTCATAACTTCATTCGTTCGTGGGTGGAAAGCGAATTTCCAATTGAATTTTAGCATTTGAAATGGAATTTGAAATAACAAAACAGGTAAAGAATTCATGGTTAAGACTGAAGCTCCAAATATTTCTAAGGGTAAAATTTTTAATAGTTCTTAAAAAGTTTCAATTTCAAACAGAAATAAAAGCAAATTAAAAATACCAGAGGTGCCGGAACCAGCGAAGCGGTTCGTTTGGGTGTTTCTTGTTATTGATCTTACTGAGATGCCCTCATAAACCAGGCATAGCTAGCTCCCTCAGTTCTAGGCTGGTACCGTCAGTTGGTACTCACCGTCCACCTGGACTGGGCAAGTCATCCGAATCAAAAATACTTGAAAAATAGTACTGATATTAGAAAATGAAAAAATAAATATTTGGAGCACTGATGTTAAAAATATCCGATCACGCGAGAAAACAAAATTCAATGGGCAGGACAATTTGCTCGCCTTGCTGACAACCAGTGAACGTTGCTCATTAATGAATGATACCGCGAAAAACTAATCTGTTACTTGAGCTGGCTCCAACGGAGTGGTGTACACACATCGAACAGGCAATGGCTACTAACTGGAATTAAGTAGCCCGGGACTGAGGGACTGGTTTAGCTGCACTGGGTATATGAGAGCAATCCAATAATGTCACTAGCGTGTAACATCCAACGCTGATAGCCGGAGAGGAGGCTTGATATTCTTGATATATAAGTTAGTTTGCTACGATACGAATTTTTACTGTTAAAGTGCAAAGAAATACCTCTTTTTAGCATGAGCAAGTTCATTCCGCGCGACAACGACTGCATTGTACAGTTTCGTAATTTCCGTATCTTGTTCGTCAATTTCATATTTCTTGCGAATTCCCAGCAACTTTCGAATACAATTCAGCATTTTTTGCGATAGTGAACGTTTATTTGCTTTAGAAATTTTTCTAAAAAAATACTTGTTTCAGATAGGTTGAAATTTGCCGTAGCATTCGAGGTAACGTAGTGGTTCGCTTGACCAAATTACATAAAAACTCAAAAGAATTCGGCAGTCTTATAAACAAAATCATCTGCATTTCAGCCCTCAAAGATCAGCACCGTGATCAGAAAAGACGATGGAGTTGGTTAGAAAATTGCTCAGGAGAAAAAATTTTCTGACTTGATTACAAATAGCATACTTTCTGACTTGATTACAAATAGCAGTAAAATAGAAAGAATGCTTCACAAGCCAAAAATGCGTTCTTTATGACTAAGATCCCCTAAAAAAATTACTCTCCTAGTTGAT